TATCGGGGATATGTAGCATTTATTTTAAGAATGGTGTTTTAGTTTTGTGTTAATGGATAAAAATTGAATAGAATAAAATAATTTTGCTCTAATATAGACTATAAGTAATTCTTATTGTAAGTCATTTATGCTTTTACCAATGATTTGAAAAAGCCTATATCTTGAGAAAATCCAGCAAGAAACCCACCCAACAGGACTTCACTTTCATATAATAATTTACAATTTTATAAAATGAAACATATGATAATGGGTGCGTTTGGCAGAAAAAAGCGCTAGCAAGCGCTTATAAGCGCTAAAATAGTTTTCGGCCAGGACACGATTGCTACTTCAGTAGCGCTGACACAATCCGCCATTTTGCTTATTTAATTTGTTTGTTTTGAAGTAGAGTTTATAAGTTGTTTTGTGCAATATTAGTTTTAAGTAATATAATGACATGAATAAACATATACATGCTATTAAAAACTCATGATTGGTAAGTTTTTAATATGAATACTTTACAAACATATATTTAAATTAGGTTAGATTCCCCGGTTAAAACTAACATCGTGTCCTGGAGGAAAATAGCTACTTACGATATGAAAGCGCTTACCGCTTACGATCGCCATTTTGCTTACAAGCGCTTGCTAGCGGTTTTTTCTGCCAAACGCACCCAATGTCTTTCATTTAACTAATTTACATTATAATAATAGTAAATTAATTACAGCTATTTAATGGTGGCATAAGACTACTACTATAAGCGGCAACAAATTTTAGATAACCACTCACAAGTCGTAAAATTAAAAATTTTGTACAACAGACTTCAATATAAATAAGATGAGAACATCACCAATGTAGTGAAAGTAAATTAAATATGAATTATTAGGGATAACTCAAAAACTACTGGTCAGATCTTGATCAAATTTATATGGGACTACATGAGAAGCACCAGCTTTCAAATTTAGTACTTACAAGGAGGTTACCGCTTACGATCGCCATTTTGCTTACGGCTTTGCTAGCGCTTTTTTCTGCCCGCACCCAATGTTCTTCATTTAACTAATTTACATTATAATAATAGCTTAATTACAGTTGTGGCATAAGACTACTACTATGAGCGGCAACATTTTAGATAACCACTACAAGTTGTAAAAAAATCTTCAAAATGGGTCACCTAGAGACAATTCTAAGGTAACCCACACAAAACCAAATACAGTCAAATTGAAAAGCTCTTTCTTTTCTGAAGTCTTACAACAATCATAAAGTACCTACATAAAAATATATTTTAACATATATTTTTTAATTAAATAATGCAGTATGTAATTACTAAATTATTAGGAGAAACTAATCTATTAAAAATATAAAGCACACAAAAAGTTTTTTTTTTTCAGTAATTATAACAGTGTCAATAAAAACATCATTTATACTAGCAAACTTCATTTTTTTAATAGCTGAACAACAATTTAAGATCAACCTAGTAAAACTTTATTTCATTCATTCATCAGCCTATAAAGTCCACTGCTGAACATAGGCCTTCTTCATTGAGTGCATCATAGGGGGTAAACTTTATTTTATTATTCATAGGTAACATGTTAACAGTATTGGTAAAATGTTTGCAACTACTGCTTGAATACTGTTTCTACCCGCGTTTAGAAAAGGATGGTAAACAGAAAAAAACGTATAAATACGTATAGAATACAAAAAGGCTATTTGATAAAAAGTAAAAGTGAAATACGACTTATGACAAAGGAATCGAGATTTTGCAACCAACAAGGGCAAATAAAAACATGTTTTTTCAATATTCTTGGTCATCTGCAACATACCTTTCTTTGCACTTCTTGAAAAGCACTTTAGTGTATGATATTAATAATTATAAATATATCAATTATAAAACAATGAAATAGTTAAATCTTGATTTCTTTAATTACAACCCGATCAGCTCTACTACAAAATGATCACCTGAATATACCTGTCAAATTTCAAACACGACAAAATAGAAAATACCATAGCAGCAATATACTAATGATCGAAGAAAAGGTACAATTCAACTTAGCAAAATTATACTTACGTAGCGAGCACCGTTTTACACTGTCATCGACCACATTTCACTTTGAGATCGAACACTATACGTCAAATTATAAGATTTTTAACATTTTTCATATATTTGCAGTTAATATTTTTGTAAAATAAACATTCATTACTGCTAAATGAAATATCAATAGGCCTTGTTTCGATTAACCATATCTCACACTTCCCTTCCCGCACTTGTATCTTCATTCGTCAGATGAAAAAGAAAATATACAATGTTGTAGGGGTTAGGGATGGCGATCTGAGATCGATTAATTGAAGAATCGATTTCTTGTGCAAAAATATATAGAGATTTTTATATCGATACGTAGTACTGAATCTATTTAGTGAACCGATATTTCACCCAAGAAAATCGAGATCGAATCTTTTTCTGTTTTTATAAGAATTGTAAAATAATTTCCAATTAGTTAATTGCACCGAAACTCGTAAAGAATGACAGTTTTTTTTTTAGAAGAGGAAGCAAACGAGCATGCGGCTCACCTAATGTTAAGTGACTACCACCGCCCATGATCAACCGCAACACCCGGAGAATTACAGGTGCGTTGCTGGCCCTTTAGAATGGAATAAGCTCTTTTCTTGAAGGTCCCCAGGTCGTATCGGTCCGGTAAAATCGCCGGTGGTAAACTATTCCACAGAGAGGTCGTACGCAGAAGAAAACTCAAAAAACTGCTGTGTGGTCAGTTTCTTTCGTCTCTTCTTAATGAGTTAAAGAAAAACAAATAAGTTAAGTTTGTAATCTGTACTTTCTTGTATATTTTGGTATTGTAAATATAAACTCTGAAAGCAAATCGAAAAAAGATCGAGTTTTGAGAAATCGATCTTTTAGACCTCGATTTTCTGTGAATCGATTAATCAGATCTCGATTCAAATCGATTTAAAAATCGATCTTTTTCGGAAAGAATCGACATCCCTAGTAGGGGTAATAGATATACACAGTGATATGCATGCTGTGTCTATAACTTCTTTATCTATGAACATTACACATTAAAAAATAATTAAACCATCTATGGTTTAAACCGATGCGATGCTGTAATTTGAAAAAATCTTAGTAATTTAATATAATATACTTAGTTTATTTAAATGTTCCATATTTTGAAATTTATTATCAGTCTATTTAAGTTGAATACCTAGAAAGAATGATGGATTATGTATTACGGGTGTTAACATATGTATATTTCTTTTTACATATGAGAGTATGGTCTTTTGTAGCCTAAATGAGTTAACAGATTTTGTAGTGCAATGTATAGTTAGGTACGTTTTACTTCACTCTTCAGATTCACGACTCCGTAGAACAGTTGTAAAACATTTAGTCGCGGGTTTGAATCCCGAACGGAAACAAGTGATTACCGCTGTTGGGTGTAGTGGATGTAAATGCAAGTGACTACCGCTGTTGGGTGTAGTGAATGTAAATGTGTGTATTGAGCAATTTATGTGTCTTAACCACCTCCTCGATAAAGAAGAAAATCTTATTTGGAGACAAGATATTTTTCTTAAAATTAGAAATAGAAGTCGATTTCGTCTCCTATTATATCATAGGATGGTTATATTTTATAGTAATGTTACGACAGCCAGTTGCGTATTACATCACATTGCACGAGATTGTTTCCGAAGATAAGAGTCAGTGGCCTTGTCAAGTAATAAAATGACAGCATACAAATAAATAACGCTGCGACTATAAATGCGCGCAAGAGGAAACTTTATGTCTACGTCTACCTATAAAATCCTTTTTCCTCTGGACATTGTAACCGTTACGTAATCGCGAGTGTTCTAGTACTTTCCAGTCTAAAGAGTGAAATGACCTGGACTGGCCTATAAAGTTCCGTACTCCTTTTATCAAGTATAAAAGAGTATGCCAATGATCGGGAGTTAGTAATTTCAGGAACGTGAGAGTGAACTCTACTTCAGATGACGTAATTATATACCTGCTGTGCGTTTGGAAAGATACATCCACTTTTCATCCTAATAGGCATTTTTACTCACTCTGCACGTAACAGTAATAAAACTAGGTTTTATTAACTTTTTGCTACAGCGTGGGGTGTCAAAGCGTGTCGCAAAAGGAGACAAAAAATGTGACTATATTTAAGGTTACAAGTGTGAGGAAAAATTTACCCCACAACTAATAATAATAATAATAAGATGGCGTAGGGAATTGACGACCCCATCGCCCGCTGACGTAACAGTTAAGTGACAAAACTGCTACGTCAACGCAGTCAGTCAGCGCCTTGCGAGAGGTGTGAGCGCCGTGCCTCGGCAGAATTTAGGGTGCAAAGGTCCGTTTGTGCTTATGGCCATACACGATACGGTGCCGGGCCTGGGCATCTCCCGTTAATGGACGCCCAAACCATGGATGATGGAAAAAAGATAGTGCGCAAAGGGCCGCTGCCTGGAGGTCGCCAGGGTGCGTGTGGAGCTGACGCTGGACGCGACAGCATGCGGGCCGCCAGCCGAGCGCGGGGTGCTGCAAGACCACCTAGCAGCCCCCCGCATCTATCATCCCCACCAGAAGGCTTGGTGTCGGCTGGGTATTCTCGGACTCAGCAAGCGGCACCCGCCGCTGGTGGAGCACGTCGCATGCGTTGGTGACAATTAATGAACGCAAACGCACTGCGGGCGTACTTTAGGGAAAAGGGGGAAGAAACTGGATGTTTGACGTATCGGCATCGGGTGCATCGCTTTTTTGTAGAGCTGGAGCCATCTCTATCCGTCACTGAGCAAAACCTGGCAGATCGAGTTCGGTACATCTGCGCTCCAACATATTTGGTGACGCCAAACTCAAACGACTACGACGTGAGGCTGTTCCCTCATCTAATGGAAATGCTACGGCTGGGAATGCGGCGCCACTAGATGCGCAGCAAACTGCATATGTGGATGCTGCCGTCAATATTCCATTTGTGGTTAATTCAGACGATGATGGAATAGTCTCCCACGAACTAGAGAAAATGAGGAGCATATTGGAAGAATCGATGCTGGAAACGCGCAGCATGCCTCTCGAAAATCGACCGCGACTTCCCCGCATTCCCCTTAGCAAGCGAAATCGGGTTGTCGTGCGGGCTCTTAACCCAATGATGGTGACCTATTTGGAAGCCAGCCGGGACCTTTGCAAGACGGACTCAATTCTTTTTGGCGCCGCACTGGCAGTATGCCGTATTATTGGCGCCAAACTTCCCATGGCTGGACGTGCTACTCAACAAAGTAGCGCCATCCCAGCCTGGAGAAAAAGAATCGAGGACCGTATAGCAAAGGCAAGGGCCCTTATCGGCAGACTGACAAGCTTCAGGTCGGGTAATAATAGACCGTTAGAATGGCGTTTGCTGGGACAAATATTAGTTTGTCCAGCCGAATATCACGCAGAAACTAACGGAGCGCATAGATGACCTGAAGCAAAAAATCGCAGCTTGGGGGAAGCGAATTCGACGATTTATCGAGAGGTCAAGGCGGTTCAAACAGAATCATCTCTTCCAGAGTGATCAGAAGAGGCTCTATAAATCATTGGAGCGACCAGAGGTACGTGGAGCGGGCCCAGAACCGGATCAGACTGACAATGTCGCATTTTGGCGTGGCCTAAACCAAAGCGAGGGCCCTTGGATGGAAGTTGTGGCGAGCCAGAGTGCAAGTGTTACGCCTATGAACCCCGTACCCCGTAGGGCCCCGAACTGGAAAATTCCGGGACTCGACGGGCTGCATCATTACTGACTGAAGGGATTCGTAGTGTGTCACGCTGTGCTCGCCCGACAGTTTCAAGAGGCTCTTGATCAGAAGTCGCTCCCGAGCCTCTTCACTACTGGGATCACTCACTTGGTTCCTAAAGATCAGGATACCACAGACCCGAGCAAATACCGCCCCATCACTGGAAACTTCCACGAGCAGTGTATGGGGCAGTGGAGTACGCTCCTTTGCTATCTGGGCGAGCGGATGATGGCTGCGGAGAACCACATAAGGATAAGAAGGGGTATATTCCAGGGCGATTGTCTGAGCAATCTAGTTTTGCCTCTCTCTGAACCCTCTCAGTACTTTACTAGAGGGCTCCGGGAGGGAATTTCAGCTTCGGAAAGGAGGTACAAAAGTGACCCACCTTTTCTATATGGATGACCTCAAGTTATTCGCCTGCAGTCACTCCCATCTTATGGAATTGCTAAACATCACTTGTGAATTTAGCAATTCTATTGAAATGGAGCTGGGGACGGATAAGAATGCGGCCCCCCTAGTTGAAAGGGGAAGGGTTGCTAACTCGAAGGGCATAGACTTATCTATGCCCGTCAACTTAAGGACCCTTTCCGAGGCTGAAACATACCGATACCTGGGTATGTCACAGAACATCGGTATCGATGAGGCTGGTATGAAACAGGCAGTTTGCGACGTGTTTTATGCACGCTTGACCAAAGTGCTTAACAGCCTTTTTTCGGTGTGAATAAGACACACGCATATAACGGTTGGGTCATGCCTGTTCTCATGTATACCTTTGGCATACTCAGGTGGACTCAGACTGAACTTAACGCCCTAGATAGAAAAGTCCGCACTACAATGACGTCCCATAGGATGCATCATCCGAGATCGTCGGTAATGAAGCTGTACTTGCCGCGAAAGCATGGTGGGCGTGGTTTCTTGAGCGTGCTCACCATTCACAATCGCGAAGTGTGCAGCCTCCGTGATTACTTTCCGGCGAGATCGGATGATCCATTCTATAAGGACGTCATTTCTTGTGATAAAGAACTTACCCCCCTATCCTTAGCCAACGAGCAATAACAAGACCCGCAGTGCAGAGCATTTCCGACCGGGAGACCGTATGGAAGGAGAACGAGCTCCACGGTAGGTACTACAGGGCTCTACATGAGCTTAAATTACATAGCCCCACGTAGATACAGCCGCCTCCCTCAACTGGCTAGGTTTTGGTGACCTCTTCGGGGAAACCGAGGGTTTTGTCTGTGCAATACAGGATCAGGTTATTAAGACCAACAACTATCGGAGATACATCCTAAAGGATGGCACGGTCGACGTCTTTTGAGATTGTCGCCATCCCGAGGAGTCACTTAGGCATGTCATCTCCGGTTGTTCGGCGCTTTCTAACTCTGAGTACTTGCACAGGCACAATCTAGTTAGTAGCCAGAATTCTACACCAAGAGCTCGCTCTGAAATGCGGTCTCGTGGACCGAAAATTGCCGTATTACAAGTACTTGCCGGAAGCCGTGCTCGAAAATGACCGCGCCAGGCTCTACTGGGACCGGGCCATCATCACGGACAGGACTATTTCTTGCGAATAAGCCTGATATTGTGCTGATGGACCGGCACAGTCAAGGATATTTTTGGTCGAAATTACCATTCCGTATGACGAGAACCTCGTGAAAGCCGAAACAGATAAACGAACAAAATATCTGGACCTGGCTCACGACGTGACCGACATGTGGGGTGGCATGCCGGCCAAAATTATTCCTGTAGTCGTCTCTGCGAATGGGCTAATCCCAGTCAGCCTCTCGTATCATCTGAGGCTACTGGGACTACGTGACGGACCGCTCTGGGCTCAAATGCAGAAGGCGGCGCTCCTCGATACCGCCCGCATCGTCCGCTGGTCTCTCCCCCAACCCTCGGCCGTTTGGTCTCCCCTGCCGAGGGCTCCCATCTGGTTGGATCTTATTTATTTATGTAGTTTTTGTATTTATTTTATTTTATTGATATTTATGTATATTTATCTTTTCATTTTAGTTTATAATTACATATTTATAGAACCGAACCAGGTGAGAAAATTATATAATAATAAGCTTTTTATTTGTCTCAGTTTACACATGTTATTAAAAATTTACAAATAGAAATCATCACAAAGTTAACTTAGAAACATACTTAAGTAACATAACAGTAATGAGACAAACTGGCCTGTGACTCAGCTATGTGGTGATTTTAGGTCACCGCTGGTATTCTGCCACAGCCGACTATTTAAAAAAACACAGTATATTAACCTAATTTTTTAAAGTGTAGACTAAAATATTTATTCATATGTGCTATGCAAATTTAGTAAGTAGTAGGTACAGGAGACAATCGCCTCTGGGCCTACCAGAAACTTCAACGACTCTCAATGGTATTAGTAAGGATTATGTCTGTAGTTATATATAATACTTCATACCTGCCTCCAACTTTCGTTGTTCACGTAACCATACTTTACATTTCTTTCTAAATAAATTTGTATTTACGATCTCCTGCAAAGGAGGAGGTATATTGTTCCAAATTTTGGAGGCAGCATATTTGAAACATCCTTTTGCTTTAACACGCTTATAAGTTGGAAGTATATATAATAGTTTACCCCTTCGTCTCAAACGTGTTAGTCGACATTTTGGAAATAATTTTTCATATAAATAATGAGGACATTGCGAATTATTTAATAAGTGTACGAAACAAGCATATTTTAATTTGCTAGTGTGACTCATACTTAAAATATTATTTTTGAGGAGATAAGGAGTTACGTGGTTAGTCCTAGGTATGTCAAAACAATAGCGCATACACGCATTTTGAACCCTTTGTATTCTCCCTATTTTATAGGTTTTCTGTGAGAGGCAAGGACCATATATTATAGACTATTACAAAGACGGAGCCGGATGTTTGGTTTCAGAAAAGAACGAATTTTGTAAAGAGATTTTAAAGACCCAAAACATTTTCCTATTTTTTGTTGTACGTGTTGTCATAGAAGTCATAAAATTAGAAATTAGTGTCTAAAGAAAGCCTGAAAAGGGTTACTGCTATTATCTATTATCATCAATAGGTAGAGGCATGCGATGCGAAGAAGACTTGCTGTCAAACTAAAATCAATTGCGATGAGCGGAGAAGGGTGAGGATGGATGATGATTATGTGGTACTAAATAATTGCCATTTCTTGTGTTTTAGCTTCGTGAGTAAATAATACAACACGTTTATTATCATTATATTTTATTGATTATAGTCCTTTAAACAAAAAAAGCTTCGTATTGTGACGGCCCATTATTATTAATAATTAAATTCAATATAAAGGGGCGTCAAAAATAGTCTTAAAATATATATATTAAGCAATAAAATTACATTAATAAGCATAAAGTTAATATAAATACATTTCAGACATTAGACCAATAACATAGTAAATTAAAGGCAAAAATATTGTCTTCCATAATAAATAAATTTATTATAAAACTTGTAAAAATATTTAAAACATGATAAACAATAGAAATACAAGTCGAAAATATTATAAAAATAAAGATAAATAACGTTTACAGTACGTTTGCACTGAGAAACATCCAACATGTAATGTTTTGAAACAAATCGCATAAAATAAATCACACAACATGTTTTGTTGATGGTAGCGTTCGCACTCATAAAAACTGTGTAAAATTTTCAACAGATATCAAGATTTGTTTTTAGCTGTGTTCGCATTGATTACAACATAGACATTTTACTTGTTTATCTATAGATTTGTCAACGTTAGCGTTCGCACTGTTGTTTTTTTATATTTCGCGATTTGTTTTAAATCGTGTTTTTCTGTTATCCAATTTAGTTGGTAAACATCACAAAACATTATCAACCCTAGCGGAGATGAATGATAACTTAATACAAAATATAAATGTGGTATCATCATCATCATCATTACGGCCCTTCACAAGTCCACTGCTGAATATAGACCTCCCACAAGGTACGCTACAAAGCACGGTCCTGAGCCACCTGCATCCATCGACTTCCTGAATGTATTACCAGGTCGTCACTCCATCTAGTGGGAGGTCGCCCTACACTTCGCCTACCGGTACGAGGCTGCCACTCGAGAACCTTTTTTCCCCAACGGTTGTCGGTTCTTCGAGCTATATGGCCGGCCCATTGTCACTTCGGCTTACTAATCCGTTGGGCTATGTCAGTCACTCTGGTTCTACTGAGGATATCCTCGAGCGTCCTCATACGGCCAGCAGTGAAGGACCACGTCTCAGATCCGTAAGTCATCACTGGCAACACGCACTGGTTGTACACTTTAGTTTTCAGAGATTGAGGTATACCTGATGAGAAGATATGTCGTAATTTCCCGAACGCTGCCCAGCCGAGTTGAATCCGTCGATTGACCTCTCGGTCGAAGTTGGTCTTACCTAGTCGGACTATTTGTCCCAGGTATACTCGTCAACAACTTCGAGCTTAGTGCTCCAACAACTACCGACATAGGTGTGACACGGATATTAAACATGATATTTGTTTTGTCCATGTTCATCTTATGATCTATCCATTGAGAGGCACTATTGAGTGAAACTATTAAATATGGTATATATCTCCACAAATTCCATCTTTATAATTAATCAGATTATCTGCAATTCTCTCGTGAGGCGGAAAAATTTTGTACTTTTTGTGGGGTATTTTTTTAGGTTACCTGTCCCAGAGCTCGATA